GGCGGGGCGCGGGGGCGGCCGGGGAGGAGCTCCAGCTTTCTCTCGCTCTCTCTGCCGCAGGTAATCCGCAACCCGCTACCTCGGCTCTGCTGCCCAGCCGGACCCAGCGCCCTTTACCGGTTGCTCGGGGTACCGGGTCGGCGCACGTTCTGCATCCAACTGTGGCCCTTCAGCTCGTTATCTTGCCCTCTGACCTTAATTAATCCCAAAGCACACTTTCTCCTGAAGGAAACCAAGACAGTAATTTCGACAGTATTTGAGATTGCACAGAAGAACGTGGACGGGTAATCTCCAAGAAAAGGTTACCAAACGCATACTACAACACAGAATCTTAAACCTAGACTACCTCCTTTCACGACTGACATGGGAATTCTACAATGTCTGGCACCATGATTTTTCACAGATAATCCGTACAATCCGGAGTGTTTTCCTTGCAAAGAATTTGGTACAAATTAACAAATGCGTATGTACCAGTGCCTATGCCAGAAACTGTGATACCAGACAAACACGGGGACTTTTTGTCTACATAAATAAAAGCCTTACTTCAACAAGGAATATTGATTGGTACCACTAATTATCCTTGCTAGAAAATTGTTTACTTCTGAAGAAATACAGTATGAGAATTACACCACAAATGTCAATCTCTAGCAATCCTCCATTCCAAAACAAAACCAAAAAGAAGCCACTTGTGATTGAATAGATTCCTACTCATGCTGATCGTATGTGTGATGGAGCAGAAATGTTTTATAGAGTTTTCTTGACTAGTACATAGAAACCAGGAATCTCTTCCAGGGCAACGCTGGGTGGGCTCCCTAGCAACCTTTACAATAGTGGTCCAGGGCAAATCACTTTAACCCCCAAACCTTAGCCTCTGTTAGGTTAGAGCAGGCTGTGAGATTTAACAGGTAACTGAAATCTCTACCAAACCTAAACCAAATCCACTGACATTGAGTCAATTCTGATGGTAGAACTAGTCCTGTGGGTTTCTAAGACGAACTCTTTACAGGACTAGAAAGTCACCTTTCTACAATAGAATGACTGGTGGTTTTAAACTCTGGCCCAATAGTTAACAGCCCAAGGTGTTATCCACTGCACACACACACACACACACACACACACACACACACACACACCCCACAGCTCCTTCAGTCCCTGCAAATGGCCAGGAAACTGGCATTTCTAATTTGCGAACCAGGCTAACATCTTCCACTGAGTATAAATTCAGTTCTAGTCCTTCTTTACACATAGCAGCTTCATGACCTTGGTAGGTTACTTAACTATCTCTGTTTCTCCATCTGGTAAGACAGAGTGAGTTAGTTTATTGTGCCGACCTGGCCAATAAACACGTGGGGGTTAATTGAAGGGCGGGGAGATATAAATGGCTCGGTGAGCCTTGCCTTTCTAGTTCTCAGATTCTTGCTTTTTGATGGTCGAACCAGGGTGCAGCTGCCTTAGCCAGTTCCCTGCTTTAGCTGGCAAGGCTAATCAGCTCACTTCCTGCAAAATGTCCCTGAGGAGAAGTCACATGGGCCTGCCCCGATACAGCCCTGGGTGCTGGAGCAGCCATGTAGAGACCCCTGCCAGTGCTGAGATGCTTACACATTCACTGACTCGGCTTTCCTTCTGCAGTCGGCATCATTGTGTCTGTTTTGTGAGATGGAGGAGGACTTTGTGGATTGGTGTTGGACATATGGGTTAATGGGTTAA